GAGCCCTCCGCACTAACCCTGTCCCGGTGACAGGATCCCTTCCCCACCCGAGCCCTCTGCTCTAACTTTGTCCCAGTGACAGGATCCCTTCCCCACCCGAGCCCTCTGCACTAACCCTGTCCCGGTGACACGGGCCCTTCCCCACCCGAGCCCTCCGCACTAACCCTGTCCCCTCGGGGCTGGCCCGGTGACAGGAGCCCTTCCCCACCCGAGCCCTCGGCACTAACCCTGTCCCCTCGGGGCTGGCCCGGTGACAGGAGCCCTTCCCCGCCCGCCCCGGTGACACGGCAGAGGAGCGGGGCCGCGTTTGCCTCGGCGGCTGAAGTTCATCTGCAACTTGTCCCTAATTAGCGGCTCCCTGTCCTTTTCACCCTCCATTATGCTCAGCCCCGAGTCCTCTCGGAGGACGTGGATGAGCTCAGCCAGACGCAGCCCTTGACAGCTCCATGAGTAATTCCCCTCCAGCCTCAGCCTCCCTCCTCGTCCCCCCTCAGCTCCGGCTCCTCCTCCTCCCTCACTCCGCTCTCCCTCACAGCCCCCTCGGCCACCGCGGCTTTGCCAAATTGCTCCCGATGGACGAGCTTTTCCTTCCCTACAAAAAGCGGCTTCCTCGCTTTTCTCGCGCCGGTGCCGCAGCACTGACGCCCTTCCCGGCTCAGCCTGGAGGGGCCGGGGAGCACCAGGCTGGGACATTCCCGGTGGGCACCGCTCCGGCATCCAGGGAGGAGGTGATGCAGCCCTCTGGAATATCTCGTTTCCTGCCAGACCGTGGCTGGAAGGAGAGAGGGAGAGCAAGGACATCCCTTCCCCAGGAAAACTAATTCCCAGACGTGCCATTCTGGGGACAGCCGGGACGCCTGGCCGGGAGGGCACAGGGAGAGGGGGACAAACCCCGGGAATCGCCCAGGGCTGCTGGTGGCTCCGAGTCCCCACCCTGGGGCTCTGGGACCCGGGACCGGGGGTGACATTCGGGGCAGGGCCAGGCTGGACACGGACAGGGAGAGCAGGAGGGGCCGGCTGTGCCCGGAGAGCGGGACACGGACCGGGGGGCAGCGGGAAGGGAAGGGAAGGGAAGGGGACTCTCCAAGGACAGGGAGGAGGGATCGGAGCGGAGGAGCCGCTCGGGAAGCCCCGGGAGACGCGGAGTGCGAGACACGGCACCGGGTGAGGCGGGAGCACGACCTGCAGAGCTGCAGATCCCACAACTCCAGGCTGGTCTGGGGGGGAAAGGGCCTTAAACCCCACCCAGAGCCACCCCCTGCCACGGGCAGGGACACCTCCCACCGGCCCAGGTTGCTCCAACCTGGCCTTGGACACTCCCAGGGATCCAGGGGC